ATCTATCTATCTATCTATACATATATATTATATATATGTCACATGTGTGTGTGTGTGTGTGTGTGTGTGTGTGTGTGTGTGTGTGTATGCGTGTTTGTGTGGCGTAATGCTTTTAATGCTTTGGGACCGCAGCTGGTGAGGGAAAGCCTAGGGCGACTTCCAGTTTACTCATGCATTATATTATATCCGATAAGGCCGACCGAACTACACTTTTAATTGAGAGAAGAATCTGTTTGAGTAAACAGAAGTACAGCGACACAATAATGGTCATTTAGTGTTGGCAAATTGTAAGCTAGATAGACAAAAACAATAAAGGGAAAGTAAAGAAGTAGGCCTAAACCTGAATTCAGAATACTCGTACAGAAACACAGATGACCTAGAATAGTTACACCGGACATAGTGATGCACTCAAGCATGATGCCAAATCAGCTTACAGCGACTCGAGCTCAAGGCTGAAACACCACAGCAGCATTCTTCTAGGCCTAACAATTTCCAACTTAGAATTAGAAGTTAGAAGTATAAAGTATACGGTTCGGCCTCGTGGAGTATTCAAGGTTGTTCCCTCTTTGTTTTAGTAAGTGTTTTACGGCACTTGCAACACAATAAGGTCATACAAGTGCCGAAGACTTGAGGTGTTACAAGAGAGTAACAAACACAAAAAAAGGAGGAGAGATTTATAAGGACTATATATGTTTGATGGGGAAGAAGCAAACCACACCAGAGCACCCGCCAACCACCCACATGGCTACATTGTTCTCTCATTCAGTTGTTTATTTGTAGTATGTTTTACAGCCCCTTAGACACAATTGAATTTAGATCATTTATGAGGCGGGCTTCGACTCTGCCAGTCAGAGTTTTAGTTTTAGTAGAGGTTTTACGGCGCTCGCAACTGCATAAGGTCATATAAGTGCCAAAAATTTGAGGCGTTACAAGAGAGTAACAAACACACAAAAAAGGAGGAGAGATAAGGACAATAGATGTTTGATAGGAAAGAAGAAGCAAATCACACCAGAGCACCCGCCAACCACCCACTTCCCGTAAGAGCCGCCCGGGCGGGTGATAGGTACGGTACGATATCCCTGCAGAAAGATCGAGAGGCTCGATTTAAAAAAAAAAAATTCTTCCCACCTGGGATATGAAATTGGGTGTCCTGCATGCGACGATGAGACGCCTAACTGCTAAATCACAAACTCAGGTCTCAATAAGTTGGGTCCTATCTATTGGACATGCATGAAGTTCTTGATTATGTTGTGCACATGATGCGGAGTGGCCCATTGTCAAATCTTTCAACAGGCTTGCTTTGACATCGTTACACCTCGAAATCCTCACCAGAACTAGCTTCAATATCGTATGACGCTATGTACAGTATTTTCATTTTCGACAAGACTCGTGTGCACGTCATTCCCTCAGCTGAGGGAAATGTGAAGAAGCCATAAGAATTTAAACCATGCTCTAATTTTACTAATTAGCCTTCAACGGCCCCATATATGACTTGCTGAGTTCTGAGCTGATTAATTGGTGCGTGCAAATTTTTAAATTCTAGGCCCGCATGCATTATAAGGGAAGGTCAAAAAGTAATGCAAGTTGTTCGCTATTTTGCACCAAATTTATTGACATTCAGCTTACAAGAACAAGAGGGGGTTGGTGGGTCAAACTGTAAACAAGTTCGTTTGTAACTTAAAGAAAATAGAAAGCAATCAGAACCATCATACCCCAAATTGAAGTTGAAGGGGCGCATCTGAGGATCAGATTACTATTTCCTAACTTAGGTCTCCATCCCGTTCGATAGCCACTGTTGACCTTTTAATAAGTCCATGTTTGACTTCATACTCAGAATGACCTTTGTCCGTTGAATACAAGTTCAGAGCACAATGGGTTTGCCTGTGTAATAATAGTGTGTATAAAAAGAGGCAGGACTGCCAAAAGTATAAATGAAACTGAATTCTTTCTCCTTGACCATGAACAGGACTACAGAACAGGAAAGGACTTAAATGGAGAACATTTTTGAGAAACAAATTTTTCGTCGCTGTCTGGTTTCGATCCCACCAAACCCCAAGACCCCTTTAAAACTGAGCCATGATTTTTCCCTCAGTTATTACACATGACATGTATTTATTATTTTTTTCAACGCACGTAAACAAAAGTGAGAAACAGTGAATATTTCCATTTAGAATTTTTAATCACATATGACGGTGAACACATTTGGTTATCATAAAAGGGTGATGACAATGTTATTGCATGATCACTCTTGCTGTGAATCTTTGCAGTATGTACATTTCATTCATCATGTAAACTTCAGGGACACTCTATGTCACATGGATTGTTCCCTTTCGTGATGGTTCCTTCATGGTAGTCGCCATGTTTGTTGCGGGAAAAAGACTGAACAGAGACCAAACATAAAGGGGAGGATAAGGATAATGAACCCCGCATGGAACATGCTGAAGTCATAACAACCAAACGTCCAGCAATACACATTAGTGCAGTCAACTCTCAACTGCATTATGTCATAAAACAATAATACAGATGGTGACATTAAATGGGTCCATTCACTAAATGTTAAGAGTTAATCATAACTCAGTATGTTTTTCTGTCACAACTAAATATTTTCACATTCATCCAACATTCAATAAAAAAGGCAATATTTATGATTATGGTATTCACTTTGAAAGACTTTTCATATACAGAATACCCAGTGCATTTACTGAAGCATTTAAGAAATCATTAAAAAGTTCATTCTATGCAAATGCAGTTCATTACCAGACATCTCTTGATCACACACACTCTAGCACAATACACTCATCCATTTCACAAGGCACAAAAGTTGAACTAATTATAATTCACTGCCCCACTTCATAGCTTTCAACTGACATTGATCCATTTACACTGACAAGGAAGGGATTATAAAAGAAACAGTATGCAGGTCTCAAAAGAGCAGAAACCCAAATTATAGATTTAAGTTTACATATACATTACCGTCTAGGACCTGAAAGTAGATTGTGGGATGTTTTACCTTGGGAGACAAGGCAGAGAAACAACAGTTAAGACACCATGAGATGCTTGCTGGTGTCTAAATAAGGTTTCAGGAGGGAAAGAATGCTTGCTTTATTTGAGCTCAACACCCTGCTAGACATTAAAGTTAAAGGGTTATTTCGAAAGCAAAGTATACTGCAAAGGAAAAATGAAGGATGGAGCGGAGAGACATCCCTGCTAGTATAAACCCTGCCCCCCCCCCCCTTACAAAAAACCCCATCTGAGGTTCATTGTTTATCCTGCTATTCCAACAAAGGAGTGCTTCTTCCTCCTGCTGTTGTATCGTAGATCTCTATTCTAAAACCTGCCAACTCACCAGCTGTGGGAAAATGCTTGCCATTTCAAAGTAAATATTTGCAGACTTGGATTGACCATCATCATCACTGCCACTCTCATTCTGCATCAGGGTATAGGCCATGAACAAACACTTTTCACCTTTCCCTAACCCGGGCTAGCTTCTTCATATTATTCCATATCTCCCCACTCTTCTGCACACCATTCTCTGTGACTCTTCTCCAGGTTCCACGTGGCCCAACCCTTGATCTCTTACCCTATGGATTCTAATCCCACACTTTATTTGTTATGCAGAGGCCTGCCTGAATGAAATCGAAAAAAAAGGCATTTTCCTGCTGGTTTGGAAATTTTAATCTAATTTTTGTTTTTTGGATCAACACCTTTCATATCCAATTAAAAACCACTTCATGTGTGGATGTTACTGAAAAAACAACAACCTTGATTAAAGGCACAAAAATGTACACCTTCAGTTCCTAAGGACTCTCAAACTTTGGTGTCCATTTTCCTCATAATTTTTGCTCACCTTCTTCAATCGGAAATACCTAGACATGTTCAAGATAGATGGGCAATTTTTTTCATGGAAAGCGAGACAAATGCTCATGCTTTAATGTGATACCATTACATTTACATGCCCAAAAATTGACTAGCCTCTGATTCCACACAAATGACAACCGATCAACCAATTAATTTTCAAACCGACAATACAAATATTTACGCATTGTTTCAACACAAGACTCATAATGACAACATTGTGGCCAAACCAAAAAATAAAAACACAACCCACAGGTCTTTTCATGTTATCAAGTAATTTTCTATTGCTGCTTTCTTTACCCTGCAGTCCCCAGGAAAAGTCAAAATACATAAATTATCTTCCAACTTTCGTAATGTTAAATCAGTACATTGAAGAAAAAAAAATAATTGGAATACAGGCACCTCTGCATAGCATTCTGACAAAAACATTACAATAAATAAAGAATCTTGAACAATACAGTGTAGCTGTAATAACTGTGATAGACTCACAGTGGGCCATAATTAGCGAAAGTCCCCAGCATTCATCCACCTTGAAAAACTAAAATACGAACAGGTTAAATCATGTTTACATCTAGATAGATAGATTGATAGATAGATAGAGATAGAGACATACACACACACACAGAGCGAGAAAGAAAGGGTAAGACAGAGAGAGAGAGAGAGAGAGAGAGAGAGAGGGGGTGGGGGTGGAGGGGAGAGGAGGAGACAGAGAGAGAGTGAGTGAGAAAATGTTTTTACAGATCTCAAGGGGTAAACTTGAGGTTAACTGGTGTGACGCGGCCAAATGTGCGCGCAGCGCCTCCTGTCAGCTGGTCCACCTGGGCTATGCTGTCCATGCTGTCATCGATGTGCATGCTCACCGATGGACCTGCCTCCTCCTGGCCCCGCTGAGTCTGAATGTTGCGCAGCATGGACTTTGCTTCTTCCCTGGTCTGAAAGGGGGGGTGGGGGTGAGAAAGAGTAGTTATTATATATGTGAATGTTTAACATCTACAGCGAAACAAATTTTATCATTAAGGAACTTGTCTGCTTTGACCAGTGCAAAGAGGGATACAACGTCCAAGCAGACAGACAGATCCTTGATAAAAAAGCTCCCACATGGGAATCAAACTTATGTCTTCTGAGCACAACATCGAACAGTCTTACAATTACATTACATCACAAATGCTGGTGGGTTAATATTGAGTGATAGACAAGCACATAGGAGCAGAATTATGCATTGGGAAACCTTTTTATCTACAGAATTTACCTAAAAAATGTACCCCTTTCTTGATTAGTAAAAGATGCTTTTATTGTCCATAAAATGTGAAGCGCTCTTACAAAATGAGTTACCGCTTGCAGTCCAAGAATAAAGACATCGGCTAAAAATCAACACTGGGGTCAAACTCGTAAGCCATTTTCTTCAAGTTTAACATGTCTTTTACTATTTCATAATTATAAATTGTACAAACTCCACCTATAAATTAAATGTATCTATTTTAGAACAACCAGGCACAGAAGCACTAAGGACGAAAAAATAGAGCTTCGATCCACTTTACTGACAAGCAAGCACGGCGACAAAATCTGCACTTTGAACACACAAAGAATTAGCTTTAAAAAAGAAGCTGCATGAAGACAACCCTGAGATCATCTTAAGATTAACTGACTGTCTGCATAGATGAAAAAGAGCTAAACACATACCTGCCACTCTATGAAATCTCTAAATCAGGATCTCAGGGGGGAAAAAAATCGGAATTTGGTAAAAAAAAAAAAGTCAGGATCAACAGCAAATCACCAAGGTGACTGCCATGCTGACTTTGTTTGTGTGTGTGTGATTCATCATTATTCTTTCTTAAATCCTGAAGCAGCACTTCAAGCACTCTTAGTCCAAGTGTCTCCCCCTCCCCCCCCCCCCCCAACCAATAAGTCCCGAAAGACACTTTAACCAGTGAGCATGAACTTAAGTTGATCCTATCAACAGACGGCCCCCAACACACGTGGAACTCACACGGCAAAGTCGTGTCAAGTGATGAGAACGTGCAACTGAAACAGTTTTACTGACAGCCCGAACTAACCGTGTGTTCACACCAAACACTCGGACGAGCTACAGTTGTTCCAGGCTAACAAAAACGGCCAAATCTCTTATCCTTCATTTGCATTCAGACTAAAGCAACGACAACGACCGAGTGCTAGTCTAGTCAGTGCAGTTAGTTGTGTAAGGGTGAGAACGACTGTCACCTGTCCGAGTCTTTGGTGTGAACGCGCCGTTACTAGACCTTGGACAAGGCTTGTTTTGAAAGTAACAGCAGAACTTCGAATATTATCGATTATTTGTATGTCGCAACTGTAACAGTTATCAGCCTATCGTCACAGAATTTTGAGTGTGGGCAAAGATCAAACACAACTTAGGGCGAATCAACTACATGCACTAAATCCGGCATCGGTATTTCGGAAAATAATGCTCAGAGTTCCTGCTGACAAAAAGTTCAGCGGGTGCTTTCCGCGACAGAGAAGAAGGCAGAGTAAGTTTTTAGAAAAATGCGGCGCAATGGCAGGCTGGAATAAAAAACTGGGATACTCATGATCTTGTTCTAGTAAGAGTTTTACGGCAGCACAATAAGGTCATATAAGTGCCGAAGATTGTTTTACAAGAGAGTAACAAACTCAAAATAGAAAGAGGGGAGATAAGGATGACAGATGTTTGATAGGAAAGAAGGAACAAACCACACCAGAGCACCCGCCAACCACCCACTACACATGAGAGATCAAAATCGGGAAAATAGGGAAGCTTGAGATTTGGGGCAAAATATCGGGATATCGGATGAAAGGCAGGTCTGCATACATATTTAGTACTAGTACAAAGCATTTACCTCGGTGAACTCTGTACATTTCTGGGCTGCAGCGTAGGCTTCATCCCAGTTCTTGTGTGCTATGTGGTAACTGGCCAGGTACTTGTAGGCTTGGCTTAGATCTTCATGGTTATGAATCTGGAGAAAAGAAGGAAGGCAATATTAGCAATGAACAATTTCTCAATAGATATTATGACAAGCTTATCCTAACAAAAACTGGTCTAACAGGCAGGAAAATATTCACAAAAACAAGAAGCATATCTACATCCAAAAAAGAAAACAAAAGAATTAAACAAAATCGGGACTAACTTTTACGGAAAAGTTAACCATGCAGTTGATTGTTGAAGAAAAAAAAATAATTGATCTCACAATCACACACTTTATAATGAATATTCCTTTTCATAAGCTGGTGGTGTCTATTGATGAGTAACTAAATATGTGTCTTGATGTGGTGGAATCAGGCACTTATCAATTTTTGAGCATGTGGAGTAACTGGTATTTTCTTAAAGCTTGTTCATTTGTCTATCTTTTAATTAAAAAAAAGTACGCCTCTATCTTGAATAGAAGTTGAAATATTTGTGAATGAGCGAGGAGGGGGTAGACTGGTTTCAGAGAAAACGGGAGCCGAAGTTTGGCGATTTCCATAGCTTGAGAGTCTTTTTGGAAACTGAAAATTTACATTTTTGTGCCTTTAATCAATGTTTTCAGCAACATCCACAGAGATATATGTTTTCAAACGATCATAAAAGGTGTTGAGCCAAAAAAATATACATTTAAAACAATTGTCATACTGAGAGAAAAATGCAGATATCTTCCTTTTCATTATTTTGACATGAGCCTCATTTCACCACAATGCCTCACATATTGATCATCTTGTGTCTTCAAGTGCTGTCATACATCAGATAAAAAGAAGTGAAATGGCAGGCAATGTTATATTCTGGTACATATGACAACATTTAAATAAACGAAAAGGATGGTAAAACTTCTTTCAAGTGAAGCTGATATGTTAAGACATGAGGCCTTTCACACAAGTATCTTACCAGTAACCGATCAGCCTGGTTTATATATTCTGTGAAGGCTTGAAATGCTTGCTCCTTTTCATTCAGCATTTCATACAAGCTATGGAGGACAAACACAACAAGACAAATTCAGATAAGTGAATTACAAGAAGGATTCTGAAAACAGCATGGTCATCTGGTAAAGCAATTTCACTTGCATCAGTGTCAGAGAGATACTGGTTCCCTTACACTTACATTCATAATAGTTGAGGCGACCAAGCGGAGGACTAGTGAGAGTAATAACCTCTACCAGTCACTGAAAGGTTCTGTCCCTTGCCTTTTGTGGAGTTCTAATCTACTCCTGGCTTGGTATCCCCCCCCCCTCCCGTGTAGGAAAATTGTATGTTCGTATGCTGGTACCAATAACCTGCCATTTGCTAGAGCCAGAAAATGTGAATAGCCAGTATAATTTATTAAAAAATGGATGGATGATTTGACTATGAGAAACATAATGCCAAGACATTTCTTAGTTTTACATAGAGACCAATCAACAGTCCTTTATGTTATAAATGTATACTACATGTGTAATGACATAATTTTAAACATACCCATGACAGATGTTGCATTAAAAAACTACTACTTTTACTTTCTTTCAGACCTAAAAGAGGTCTTTTAAAGATATTTTAATGTGTCTTTTGTCTCCCTGTATAAGGATAAAACCAACGATTATAATAACAGAACCAGCACTGACAATGTTATCAAGAGACACAGACGGTGTAAAGCTCTGATCTAGTGTGAAACTTTGCAAATTAAATAAACACTTCCTGAAGCCAACAAGCTTTTCCTTCCATTTGCAAAAACCATTAACTGACTACTTCAAACAAAGCAGACAAGTACAAGAATATTAAAAAAATATTGTAGACTGTGCTGTTCAAAATATGACTAGAACAAATCAATGGCAACCAAACTTACTTTGCCAATTTTACCAAGGCAATTGCTTGAGCATCTCCCAAACAATGTGCTTTCCAGAAGCACTTTTTGGCCTCTTGAAGCCTTTCCACTTTCTGATAGCATTCTCCCAAAGCAACGACCATCCTTGAATCATTCGGTCTGAAATGGAAAACAAACAAGATGTTTGAGTAAAATATACCCTTCTCTTAACAAGACTTTTAAAAAAAGAATATCCTCGTAAGGGGATGCTTTCAACTTCAGATCTAATACAAAATAAATGTGTACTCGTTATAACCAGTCATTTGCAAAATATACCAAAGCACAACTGTTCAAACCATACAAATCGATTGAAAAAAACATGTTGCCTTAAACAGACAATTAACCTGTATCATTACCTGGCCACTTTAAAGTAAAAACAAACCAACTTCCATTGCACAGGATTGGGAAAATACAGTTTCTACGAAAACAGGTTATTTTCAATAAAATTTGTTTAATGGTCCAGAAGTAAGAAATATCATAGCATAGGACATTGGTACTTATTAGTTTAGAACCAAACACCCATGCAAACTGAAGCATAAATTATCTTCTCTTCAACTTATTTTGATCGCACACACACACAGAAAAACATAATTCTACATAAAGAGAATAGTATAAATACCAAAACCACAACTTACTTGAGAGCCTGAGCTTTCCTGTAGTAATACAGAGAATATGATGGCATTTTCAAGATCTCATATGTCTGTCCCAAGCCGTACCAAGCTCTGTAATCTCGTTTGTCAACCTCTAAAGCAGACAGAAAAATGAGCAAAAATCATTTGACAATTCACATCTTTTAAAACTAAGCAGCAAAACTACCATACATGATTTACCCTTTTGAGGGCTCCCTATAAAACTCTTCAAAACCATGACAATAGAACATTCTGCACATCTATATAAAATAGATAGAGGAACAACATTCTTATTTTCACACCTGTCAAATTAGCTTTGGAAGTATCATTAGTGCTCAATAACATTTCAATATGTTTCTTAGCCTGTTAACATACTAACAATTTTCTCTTATATTGATTGAGAAAATAAAAACTGCTAATATTGGGTTTCTGTTGTTTCAAAATACAATGCTGTAAATACATCTTCCAAATACGTCTGCTTTTGACAACTCATCTTTATCACTTGCCCCTCACGACTGCCAAATTATTACAAAACATGCACTCTCTATAACATGTGAGAAAAACATGTTTGTCTTTTGCAATACTTACACTGCTTTCACGAAACAATAATACTAACCTATCGACCTCCTGTAAGCTTGTATTGCTGCTGAAGTGTTTTTCATAGCCATGTACTCATGACCCATCAAAGTCCATGCAGATATATAATTGGCATTCAGCTTCAAAGCTCTTTGAAAGTACAAGATTGACTTTTCATGCTGAGACCGCAGTGAGTAATAATTTCCTGTTCAAAGACGAGAAAAACCCATTGTTAAGCAAATACACATCAAAGAAAGCACATCGATAAGAATAACAGGTATTCTATAAACATTTCAATTTGATTGTGAAACTCTTTCTGTGGTGTAAAAAATATATGAAACCAAAACAAATAATGGCCAGTATAAATACAGGTAGAAACATGAAAATGATGCCCAATGCATAAATTTTGGCAGGGCATAAAGAAATTAACGCAGCAGCGAGAGATAAGCCAAAAATCTACAGGACCCCCCCTCTTTTATTGTTGAACAGCTGTGTTTATCCTGTTCAGAAAAGCAACAAAGACAGAACTGGCAAAATAAAATACTCACCTATAACACAGCATGTTTCAACACAGTACTTGTTTATAGTGCAGCATCTGTGAGCAAGATGAGCCAGATCACTCTTTTTCTCCTGTTGATAAGAATAAAACATATTTTCAAAGAGGTTTCTCCAACCTCAGAATTCCACTTGAACAGTATCAAAACTGACTGAAGCTAAACATTGGCTGAATATTATAATGAGTTGTTTGGTGGATATAAAGCATAAGCATCTATGTTCATAAAATGAAAAACTTATATAAAAAAAAAGACCTGCAAAAGAATGAAGACGGCAGAGGGATATGCTGTCTTCAGAGAAATTTGCCCTCACAATTTTTGCCATTTTCGGGAATTCGCAAATTTTAGCCAATTTTCTGCAAAAGTTGGAAAAATAATACAATATCGTTAAAAATTTCCGAAAGTTTCTTCCACGACTAAAAATAACGACGCCAAGGGGGACAATTCATACCAGAAATAGATCTACCATCTCCTTTGTACGGGGTGCCAAGTGCCCATTGTGGATGGGATTGGGTCGGGTCAGGTCGGGTTGGGATGATCGCACGACTCGTCGCCTGAAAACGTGTTTGTTTTTGAGGCAACGAGTCGGGCGCGATTGATTTGTGCCACGATAGCCGCTTTGCGCCATCAATCTGGCGAGCAAACCGACCCGACCCCCCAATAGTCCTTTTTGGACTGAATCATCTTCTAGCTAGATCTAGAGAGTAAATCAATCGTAAACACGATCGTCTGATTACTTAGCTTGCTTGGTTCCCTAGCACCAGGTAGATAGATCTAGTATAAAAATTTGTTAAAGACTTTAAACCTTAGGCTAGGAGGGTAGATCTAGAAATGGATCGAGTCATCCAGGAAACCCCTAAAGGGGATGTTCAAATATAATCTTACACCTGGAAAAGGGGGGGGGGGCGTCTTTGACTCTTGCAAAAGAAAAGTGCAAGGAAGGGGAGAGGGGGGGGGGGTGTCTTGAACTTTTGAAAGGTGAAAAAATAATAAGGAAAATAATCCATGGCAACATAATTTTCTTTTAAATAACATAAAAAGAGAGTTAACTATACTATTCACTTAGACCGGTAAGCACGGCATTGTGGCGATACCAGTGCTTCCATCAGCGGAAGCTGAAAAGTAAGGAAAATTCTGCTGGGGGTCTGGGACAGCGTCCCGGTGGGGGTTCAGGGGGCTGAGCCCCCGAAGAAATTGAAATTTAGTACTTTTAGAGGGTTGAAAATGGCATTTGGGAGCCTGTTTGAAGAGATTGCCAACAACCCATACTACTTATTTTTTTCACCAAGATTTTGTCTTGTATGATTTCTTCACACATATCTTTCCATTGCTGGCAATGTTTAAAAGCAGTTCCCCTTCCATTGCTACTATAATTCAATTAATTTGTCATTGCACCATTGATAGAAGGCAAACCTGGGAATAATGAATATATATATGTACCTTCACAATACAGTTGCCAAGTGTGTACCCTAATCTTTCCTCAATTTTCACGTCTGAATGTCGCACGTCACAATCTCGGAACACCACTTCGAATCTTTCTTTATTTTAGTAGTTTTAGCACAAATTTCTTTCATCGCGTTCCCGTGCCGTAGAATCTTCACACTGATAATTTCTCTAGACCTAGACAATAAATTTGCGACAAAGTTTCTTTCTGAAGGTAATTTTCTAAGATCACAGGTCAATATACTTGATCAACGCGCAGATTTTTCCAGCCGCGGCAACAATCCGAAGATAGACAGACGGAATGAGGGAATGACAGAAGGGAGGAAAGTGACACAAAAATTCGCCAGATTTTGATCAATCTGCAGGTAAAAAAATTAACTGCCAACCAACCTGCAATAAATGCATGGGGCATAGCGGATTAAAGGCCGATGGCAGGAAATGCGCAATCTGGCAGGTTGCTATACCGTAACAAACTATTGCGAGAGAATTACCGTAAATATCCGTAACTTATACTATACAAGACAATACGAAGGCGAGCACGAGTCTTTTGCTACGGAATTTCAGTAGTCCTACGCTGTCGCAGATTTTTACGGAGGGTGTTGATAATGATGGAGGAACAAGTAGGGAACTGGCAGAAAGTAATTTCCGTAAAAATACAGAAGAGTGGAAGCACTGGATACAGTAGGTCCTCGATACGCAAGCACAAATTATGTGCCATCTCGCACTTTATAAACTGGTAGATATCAAGGCTACATGACATGTAGTCTAATTTTGATTACACAGGTGTGTTTAAAGTGGTAAAAATGACACCGTAAGTTTTTCTGGAAAAGAGGGGAGAACAAAGGTAAGAAAAAAGAAAAGTAGCGAGGGGGTGGTCAAAAAGTCCCCAAAAAGGTTTAAGATTATTTTGAACAGCCCTAAACCACGCTGGTCACACCTGCCCAACGTCAGCGAGAGTTTAAGGACGTAACGAATGTGTCAGGGGACCAACTTTTTTATAATCCATGCAACCTCCATGCGGTTTTTTTGGTTTTTCGGTAGACATTCACATTTAACTTTTGAGTTTGATCTAACAAAACTCATGTTGGTTACTTTGATTGCAATGAGCATACCAACAATGTGTTCCAATAATTCCATGACATTTTTTAGCTTCTATACACGTCTTGCAACTCTCCTTGCAATTTTTGCTATTTTCAAATACAACTTTCTGAGGACTGGATATGGAAATATTTCAAGAAACTTTTGGCGCAAATGTTAGAAGCGTAAGTGATAACAGACAAGGAGACAGATCCCAAGAGAGAGCTGATCAGTCACAATGATCAGCTACAGATTTGTCTAAATGGGAGAAACTTCATAACAATTATAGAACGGACTTTTGCCAAGTGAAACACACATCTCTTACTGTGCCTGTATAAAGCATTTACATTTCATTTCTAAAAACAGGTAACCACTCAATAATACGTAAGTAAACATTTCAAAACAGGAAGCATTAGCAAAGTACCTTAACATAGAGAAGATTGGAATAGATATCCATATTTTCCATTCTGTAAGGGTCCATTCCCTCAAGCAATTTGAACATGAGAACAGCCTGATCAACCTCTGGAGAAAAGAAAACATAACAAGGATATCAGAAACCAAAAACAAGTGTCATATCTGCCTTACCAGCAATGTAAGTCGTGCAGCAAAATAAAAACGGAACTGAAGCAATTCAAATACTTACATAAAAACCTCATCTATGATGTGATCTACAGAATAAAGATTAACAACAAAGTATGTCTTAAAAAACAAAAATAAAACTTGACTGAAGGACTGTTGCTTCTCGATAATAATTTTCAGTACTCATTTACTTCCTTAAAGAAATCTTTAATAAAAATATTTATGTACATTTCTAGTTCCAAGATGAGGCTAAAAGGGAAATCTCTTACCCTTACACCCCCCCAACAAAATCACTTTGATGTTTTTGCAAAACTCGTCCCTCAATGTTCTGATGAAGATATGAACATGATCAAGGGCTTCCACTGGCCTACAAAGAAAAATGCTAAGGTACATATTATATACAATATAGAAGGTCTGATCACCTCGCATGTCATGGTAGGTCACAGCTCCTTGCGCCACTATGTAAGCACTCTGAGAGAAACCTTTGTCCATGAAAGCCTTGTAGATGAGCAAAGCTTCATCGTGAAGCTGGAGCTCCATGTACACTTTGGCCATGAACAGAAGTTTGATCCAGTGTTGAGGCAACTTTAGGGACATCAACTGTTGGAGAGAAATGAAAAACAAAAAAAATATATATTCTGCAATGGTTTGTCAGGAAAAGACCAAAATACTTTTCTTAGTTAAAGAAAAGTTCACAATGCAATGTAAAGGTAGTGGTGCACATAGGCAAAGAGTTGGGTTTTGTTTTGTGAGCTCAGGTACAGATAAATTCATTGCAGAGTTTAAAAAAAATCACATCCCTGGTGCATGACTCAAACCGTGTTTCTACTAAATTAGGTCAAACACATTTTTTGGTCTGCATTGTTACTCACAACCATAATTACAATTAAACAATGCCAATCGGGCTTGCATACGTGGTGAAATTTTGGTTTCCGTTTGCGGCTGTATTTTTGGACCAGAGCAGAACGCAGGTGACATACTTTCTCAAACTCGGTCTGCTCTATTTCTAGACCAATATGAAGGAAACTTGGCAACCAATCAGTAAATAGGGCAAACTAATGATATGTGGACATTGAAGTTTGTACCCATAAAAATTAACCTACACTTCTAGGGTCGGAAACACTTTCGTATCGGGTATTCTGTAAACTAAAAGGAGCTTATTTTCAACGCCAAGACAGTCCGCTGTCCAAAGACGCTTCGCACGGCGACCAGCCACCTTCCCCACACTCCCTAAGCAAATGCATGAGACCTACAAATCCCTGCATGATTACTCCAAGCATGTTCACTGGTCACTTAAAAAAAGGCAATGGCAGGAGCGTGCATCCGGTTGCTTTTCTATCTGTTCCCCTGTAACATCATAATAGGTGTATTCGCGTCTCAACGGAAAAAACAATGGTTTTTAATTGTAATGCATATTAGGTGGAATTGAATTATAATTTATGGTTGGCATGGTCTAAAGTCAGCAAAGAAAATTTTGCCATTATTCAGTCACGCTGCCAACATATTCTTAAAGATACCATGTTGTGATACAATGCTATAAATAAAATGCTCTCATTTTGACACCCCTCTTTCTAAAAATCGTAATATGTACACGAAAATTTTAATTATGACAAAATAACTACAAAGTAGTAAATCTGACTGCCGAAATAATTTCTCAACTCAAAAAACCACATTGAGTAGTCAAGTTTCTTTCAAATGCTCCCATTAATTACTGAGATGTCGTAGTTTTTATTTACAGAATCTGTTGTTATGAGGTCCACTTTTTCGGAGTATTTTCCAATAGGGAGGTCAATCATGTTTTGCCGCACTTTATAATCCCATAACTTTATTTATGAACTGATTCTTTAAACAAAAAATGCATAAAGCTAAGAATAGAAAACCCTTTCTCGGGACTCTCGACGCCTAGAGGTTAAGGTGTTGGCCTCTCATTCAAAAGGTCCCGGGTTCGAATCCGGGTAGCGACCGAAAAATTCTTCTCTAAAAATTGTCTCCTTTCACCTCCTTTCCTGCTCTCTAGCAATGTTCTGTTGTCTGTTTTCGTTTCCACTTTCTGCCCCCACCCCCTTTGCCCCCTCCTCTGGGCTCCAGACTCTTTCTGCAGCCTTTCTACTGCTACTCCTTGGCCCCTCCTAACTGCTGTCTTTCTGCCACACCCCTGATCTTCTGGTAGGAAAGATCTACACCTAGCCTTCTCGGACAAGGGCGAAAAATCTTGGACGGCCCGTGTGCAAGTTGTGCACATTAAAGATCCCTTGGTGGTCTAAAATCGATAAGAGTAGGCTTCGGCCGCCATCCGGGCAAAATTCAAAATTTCCTACCAACTGAAAATATTAGGTGTGTCCCGCGCGCTCATATGACCTTATGCAGTTGCGAGCACCGTAAAAAAACTTACCAAACAAACAAACCCTTTCTTTGGTACCAAATAAAAAAGGGGCTAAAGCGAAAAATCAATTTTTCGTTTGCACTGTAATACCATTGGTGATACCATAATAAAAAGAACACCTTACGCAAAATTTTGAGCAATTCCGGAAGACAATAAGAAAAAAGTACATTTTTTTAAACCAAAAAAAAAAAAAAAAGAGAAAAAAAAAAGAGTTTGAGTTCTTAATTTGGTGGACATATGGTTCGAGTTGCGCTCTGACGATATGTAAACCAACTCTTTCTCAGGGTTTAAACTTTGCATGACTTCACACTGAACATTTTGATCTCACTGAAAAGGCCAACACAAAACTTTTAGAAAACGAGCAAATACTTTTCATCATGAACTATTAACTGTCCAGTCTTGCCATGACAGGAAACTGGACATTTACTTTTTCTTTGTATTACACTTGGCCTTCAACATACCATTTCCTTGTCTGATATCAGCCTAGCTAGTTCCATCCATGCTGCCCAGTTCAGAGGTTCCATAGAGATCGACTCCACAAAAATATTCATTGCCAATGTATGAATATCCAGTTTTGCCAGAACAACACCATACCTGATACAAGATTCATAAGAAAATAAATTAAAATCTGAAATATTTGTATCTTTACGGCATTTCATTGAACCTGTAAAAACAGTAAGCCAGGATTATATTATATACTGCATTATTAAGGAGTGCCATAAAAGGTTAAAATCATCATTTTTAAGGGCACATCAGGATGTATCTTTGCACATTTTAGCAGTGTAGAGAAAGAATGATCTTACAAGTTTCAGCTTTTTGTCCATTTTGTAGCTATAGGCACAAGATTCATAAATAGTTTAAACATCTGGGCAACTAACAACATAATGTATTCAGATATGTGGGCCCCAAAAGAAAGACTGGGATGGAGAACCATAACCATCAATGTCTGCTCCAGATGAGACACTTAATAATGATGATGTAGCTAATGAAAAGGCAACACTTTTAAATTGTGATTCTATAAAAAGCCTACATTCAAATGCTATATTCTCCTATAATTTTAGTTAAATCGTTAGGGGATCTTTTATAATGTCAAGATTTGGATATGATCTAACTTTACGTGGAGTTGTATTCTGATAAATATTGCACAGTTCTTTTCTTCCTTAAATTCGTAATTACGGTTATGGTAAATGAGTTAGACAATTTTTTGCAATATGCCAAGACACAACAAGTGGCAGAACAGGTTCATTTGGAGACAGGGAAACACAGATAGAAGCCAAAATTGTTATTGCTGAAAAACCAATCACAAAACTGGAAATGGTTCTTTTCATGTGTTACACTCTTCCAAAAGGAAAACTTGTTAAATAACATTTAAACATTTTGATGGCAAAGGTTATCCAAACCTCTACTAAAACAAACAAATAAAAAGTTACCAGAATAAAATTTATCTTTTTTTTACTTCGTGTTTCATCAGGACTCTTATGACATCACACGAATGGTATTTCAGCTTCCCCTTGCAAAACGTTTATGGACCTTGTAAGTATTAAGATGTTTTACAGTTTTACTACAAGATGACAAACAAATACTTAGAAAGAAAAGAAACATCGACAGCAGGAAGAAATGAGAATGACATAGGACCGTGTTATGGAGGAAAACGGCAAGAAACTCTTACCAGCCCTTATGAGGGCAATAAAAATCCAAAGTCAATTAGAAAACAGGACAAAATAGTAATGCCTTGTGGTATAAATGAGAGATGTTTTTAGTAATTATACTCTTGGTCAAGCAACTCTTGGGCTCATAATAAGTTACTGCTTTTCCTCCACCACCTGTTGGTCCCAGCTCTTCAGCATCCCCCCCCCCAACAACCAATAATTGTAAGGATAACTAAGCCATCTTTTTTGCCACACAGAAATAACTAGGGGAGGAGGGGGGAAGGGAATGTAAACAGTACACTAAACAGAAAATACACCTAAAAAACAAAACCATGTATGATAACCATATGTATTCCAAATTTTGACAATTACAGACTTCAACAAAAGTTAAGGACCCCCCTTGACAGACAGTCTTGATTTTTTTTTTTTAATCCGAAAAAAAAAAAGACAGCAAGGAATGTTTCAAAGTTTTTGCTCTGAAAGTGTTAATGGGTTACCAAAGCGTTATGCAAAGCATCCTACAGGACCAAAACCACGACATGGAGCACGGAAATCTTCGGGGAATTTTAGCCAAATTTGCTGTTTTTTATCGACTTGTGTGTGACACCAGACTTTCCTCAGTTAAAATTTCTGGTGCACGTCATAAACGGATGTACGGTCTCAAACTGTGCCCACTTTGGTGGCAATATAAGTCGTCGTTTGCGCAAATTCCAGTATCGCATCAACCTACCACCAAGACGAAAGCTGAGAGACTTTGATCATGCCAGAGCTATGGCGTGGCGACAGGATGGAACTGGAGCCCGAGAAGTTGTCAGAAGGCTTGCAGTGTCACACTCTGTCATTGTCCGCCTGAGGCAGCACCATTCTCTCACTAGATCAGTCCAAGAACGCCCATGTGCAGGCCGACCCAAGACGACCACTCAGAGTGTTTGCAAGTGGTCCTTAACTTATGTTGAAGTCTGTTGTTTAAATGCACGCTTCTCAACTATCTCAAATAAAAAAGAAAAATTCTGCCTATTTATTGGAAGATGTGTTTTTAGGAATAAACATTAAAATCTAGCAGGAATATTTGGCCGAGTACTACTTCAATAAATGTTGGAAGCCACCAACAAACGCGTGTATGAAAAACTTACAGATACAGTCCATATCCATCAAGTTTCTTTTTCACATATTTTTCGGCAAGTTCAGTCTGGAGAATTTTCAGAACCTCATTCTCAAATGGTTCAAGCTGGGCTGAAAAAGGAGGAAGAAAAAAACAAACAACAAAAACGGATTAACTTTCTCTCAGTAGAAAATTTAAAGACGTAAATCATTCAAATACAAAGCAGCACCACAATGGGCTCAGTGCACAACACATCCATTCTAAATATTTATCTTTTTACCATGTTAGCAGGCTAGTATTTGCCGTTAGATATAAATGTAAAATATGATGGATTAAAAACTCCTTACTCAAAAGTATTCTTATCTTTTTATTTGCACGCACATAGCAACATTTTCTCCCAAATGTTATCACAACCCTGGAAAGAAAATTTAAATTTTGATCACAAGCTATCTACAACTGCTTAGAAAAAAAACAACACAATAGAACTAACACTTTTACCAAAACTCACCATTTGAATCTCTCACATTGTCAGCTTTTCTTTTCTGATCAGACATGTAGAGAGAATACAGCCTCAGAAAGTAAGGCTTAGGACTTTGACAATCTCGTAAGCAGTGAACAGCTCGATCATACTCCTTCAGGTCAAAGTAGCTCATTGCCAAAACATAAGCATCATATTCATCCCAGAAATCCTGAAAATCCACAAAAAAAAAATCATTTTTAGATATGTATTTAAACATCCAAAAGAAGGGGTAAATATAACTGGAGAAAGTTTCAGTTCAGCAGGGCTTTATATAACTCAATGCATGACACAAAAAAATCAACTGTAAATACATTTCAAATGATATCTGGTCTCCAAACCAGCCTCAAATAATTGGTCAACATACAAGTTTAATATCCCTTTCAACACAGTAATAAACTTACTAAGAGACACCAACTCCAGAATTTAACAACCATCTCCAATACAACCAAACCATATGGGCGGACAGAGTCGGACAGACTTAACTCATTGTGTCCAGATTTTTTTCTCCATTGACCCGTCCATTACACCAGAATTAATTTTCTTAGAAGCACCTATTACAAAAGGGTACATGTACCTTATTCAACTTGACTCTGCTGCCATATTTTCTCAACAAATTTTAATGTATCTGGTACTACTGGAAAGATAATTAAATGAGTTACCACAATAAAGATGTTGCATTGTGTTTTCTGTTATTATGATGAAATCGACTAGTTTTATCCAGCTCACTGTCACTATTACCCATGAAATACAGACTGATATGCAAAGAAACATCAATATGTAAACTAAATCATCTTTACAGAAATACCACACAAGTAGGTATTCCAGCACAGACCCTTGTTCAATAATTTAGAGTAATTGAAATACATGAAATGCCGCAGTCAACAGCAACCCAGTCTCCACTGACAGTAGACCCAGACCTATTGCAGCTCCTGATTCTATCCTAGTAATAAATCTTGTACTAGCAGTAGTAGCAGTTGCATCAGATTTGTTGACATTGCTAGCACTAGATCTAGATTTAGGAGGCAGGTTATGACTAATGGATGATTCATCCCATCAGTTGGAAAAAACGATTGAAGTTTAAGTCAGTGTGACCAACAATGCAATCAGAATAACTAGCATATATATCAGTCACTTCGACGAGCGAAAAGCAGAACAAAGTTTTGCGTGAACCGTTGCACTGGGCTATTGTTATCACTGGAAACAAGAGGGCTTACTAATTTAGATAGAAACTTCAGACTAAAAAAACATGCTAAAGTCTTTTTAAGAAGACGGCAAATAATGAAACTAGCTGTGAAGCTTCCCATCTTGACACAAATGTGTTTAGCCAGCAACGATTCAGTCATTGCTGCGGGCTAATGAGTTGAAAACTCCCCATAACAAGCCAAGTTCAGAATGCAGGCACATTTTTAGTAAAAAGAAACCCACCATTAAAGTTTGCAAATATAGATGAATTTCTGGTTAAGGAAGTAATGAATTAAAATAGAATTTCAATTAAAAAGTGTCGTAAGTCACCAAAACTTGTTAGTTAGTTTTAGTTTTTACAGCGCTCGCAAACACTGCATAAGGTCATATATGAGCGCCAAGGGGAGGATGTCAACAGAGAAGTCCAAGCAGGGAAACAGACTTTCTCTGCTCACCTCTCTAGCCTCAACAGCACAAAGTCTGCTTCGACTATCAAGGCACCCCAGAAATAGCAGTTCAAAAGAGAGTGACAAACATACAAAAGAAGTAGAGGAAAAATGACAATATAGTAAGGATGAGGAAAGAAAAAGCAGCCCATTTACAATTCTACCGTGCATACAAACAGGTTAATATACACCTTTTGGGAATGGCCTCAGACACTTAGTCAGCGGTATTGCCCAGGGGGGGGGACACCTAACTTGTTAACAATGACAGAAAACAACTAAAGTGTTAACAAATGCTTTGACGCGCAACTATGGAAAGGACATTTTTGGAATGGTAAGCAACCTGGCCATGGGAGTGGAGATCGCATTCAAATTGACATAATGATTTAGTGAAATTCAATGAGAAGCACAAAGAAGAATATTTATAGTGATTTAGTTTCACTATGAAACTATATTGACGTTATTTAAAAAATGAAAGAGGACACCATGTCCACACAAAAGTTCACTTGTCTCTCTATGATTGACAGCAATTCACCTCTGCTTGCTCTGGCTCTTGAAGACCTCTGGGATCCACTTTGACCTCAAGGGCCTTAGACATTTCAGCTGCCCTGAGTAAAAAAAAAAAGACACATAATTTAAAAATTTTAAATCAGAACTATTTGGGGCATCATGCAGGATCATCTGAAAACGTAAGGTGATGAATGTTCAACAACAAAACATTTGGTAGATTTTTACTTTTATTTCTGCACACAGATGCACTGCTTTGGGGGCCAAACTGCAGTAATTTTTGCAGCAGATCACACACACATATATGGCCACTAAAACTGCTTATATATTTAGCGGTTTTTGCGTAATCTTTAAAAATGTGGGAGTAAACAAGGAAAAAGCGGCATTGCCATTTGCGCGTGCTGGGTGAACGACCGGCGGTAGGGAAAATTCCACTGAGTGACGTCATCAGCCATCGGTCGCCTCAGGACTAGATTCTGCACAAGAAAATGTACTGGGTTCCCAAGTTTCATTTACATACTCCAAGAAATGAGCGAGTTATGACGAATATTGTCTCAAAACTCACCCAAAGAACGTATTTTCGGGTCTTTTCATTTTATATAAAGGTGTACCAAAAATTAATTGATTAAAAAATTTGTAACTTTTTTGTTTAATGATGGATTTCAAAAACGCAAAAAGTTCCATGCTCTGTGAAGATACAGCTACAAAATGCACCTATTTACAAACACTTTCTGACAAACAAAAAAAAGATTTTTCATGGTCATTGCTAAATTGCATCGTTTATACTGCGACGCGATCACCCCTTCTAAAACTCAGTAAAGCTGTATTGGGAAAACCCGCAATGAAGTCATCGGTGACCTATTTAGTTATAGGCAGCCAATCACATGCTGCCTAGTGATCACGCTCCTTTCGCATGCCGGCACTTCGCGTTTGCAATCTGTGATCTAATTTCCAGCTCTAGTGTTTTATCAATGGATGGATGGTTATTTTAAGTTGGTATGGAAAATGTACTGCACGCAGAGAACTGAAGTTTTACAGCAACAAAGAAGACGTGAGGGGCGCCTGTGTGGTCGGCGATCAATCCGCAGCTCCGCTTAGTTTTCGAACCACAGAGGAAAATCGCATAAACACGGCAATTTCTCCGGTTCTAGAAATCGTTTGGGATTCTACGCTCGCATGTCGTTAGTTTAACCTTTCCTCCGATTGGTTGCCGAGTTTCATTTATTTTTGTCGACGAGTTTTCCCGTAACTATACTTAAAAGAGAGAGTCACTCCTGATCCCGAGCGGCCCAAAAATTATCCCCTCGTGCGGAGCCCGATTTCTGGCCCAAGGCGCAGCGGGCGATTCGCATTGCTACATGTCTACCCTGTTGTACTTTAGGAAGTGGCTATCCTCACCCGGGTGGGAATAAAAATATGATCGACCTCTCACCCCGGGTGAAATTTGCCAGCGTTGGCGGCTATTCTCACCCGCTGTGAGACAAGACCTGTTTTTCCTAATTTCGGAATGCGGTCTATCGGTGTTGATGATCAAATTGACAAAAGCAAAGAAAAAATGACGTCACAAAAGTTTAAGCTAATTTGGTCGTCTACAAAGATGCTAGGCCAATGGCTATTTCACTTATCGAATTGAGCCGAACTACGCGGGTCGCCATTTTGTTTCTTCAACTCCTCTCTTTCTCTCTCTGTCTCTTTCTGAATCAGAATAAGCCTACTGTCTACGAAATGTATACAGACCTGGTAACCGGAAACAAAGTCACGAAGTATACATACCCGGCAGGGGAACTCTTTTGTAATGTCGGAAAGTTTCAGCGCCCAGACACGGTGGTGTGGGGTGTGTGTGTGTGTGTGAGAGAGAGAGAGAGAGAGAAAGAGAGAGAGAGAGAGAGAGAGAGAGAGAGAGAGAGAGAGAGAGAGAGAGAGAGAGAGAAAGAGAGAGTGAGTGAGTGAGTGAGTGAGAGAGAGAGAGAGAGAGAGAGAGAGAGAGAGAGAGAGAGAGAGAGAGAGAGAGAGAGAGAGAGCAAGAGAGAGCAGGGGGAAGTGCTAGCAAAATGTAATGACATGCCCCAGTTGACAGGAGGGAACGAGAGAAAGATAGAGTGGGAAATAGGTGGGGAGAAAGACAGACAGAGACAAACGGGGGCTCTCGTGGCCTAGAGGTTAAGGTGTTGGCCTCTCATTCAAAGGTCCCGGGTTCGAATGCGGGTAGTGACCGAACATTTTCTTCTTTAAATTTGTCTCCTTTCACCTCCTTTCCTGCTCTCTAGAAATGTTCTGTCGTCTGCTTTCGTCTCCTCTTTCTGCCCCCACTCCCTCATCTCCTTTGCCCCCTTCCTCTGGGCTCCTGATTCTTTCTACAGCCTTTCTACTGCCACTCCTTGGCTTCTTACTGTTGTCTTTCAGCCACACCCCTGATCTTCTGGTAGGAAAGATCTACACCTAGCCTTCTCGGACAACCGCGAAAAATCTCGGAGGGCCCGTGTGCAAGTTGCGCACGTTAAAGATCCCTTGGTGGTCTAAAATCGATAAGAGTAGGCTTCGGCCGCCACCAGGGCAAAATTCAAAATTTCCTACCAACTGAAAAAGTTCAAAGTGTCCCGCGCGCTCATATGACCTTATGCAGTTGCGAGTGCCATAAAACACTTACAAAAACAAAACAAGAGACAAACAAAGAAAAAGAGAATGCGAGCGATACAGAGAGAGAGAGAGACAGAGAGAGAGAGAGAGAGAGAGAGAGAGAGAGAGAGAGAGAGAGAGAGAGAAAGATAGAGTGAGAGAGAGAGAGAGAGACGATGACTGCTCGATTGAAATTATGACATTGTTCTTTTCTTCAAATTGTGATTCCTCCAACTCCAAAAACGGAGGAAAAACGATTGTTTATCTTAAAGACATCCGCAATCTTCATTAAGGTCTCTAGATTCTAGATCTAGGCTAACCTCAAAACTAGATCAACGATTTATGTCTGTCTAGATCTAGGCCATAGATCTAGAAAAACCTAGGTCTACCCTGAGCCAAGAGGGCGCTGAAACTTTCCCAAATCACAAAAGAGTTCCCCTGCGGGTCTGTATACTTTGTGACTTTATTCCCGGTTACTGGGTCTGTATACACTCTCTACTGTCTATTGGTAAAAATTAAATTATAGTAGAGGGTTTTACAGCCCTCGCAACTGCGTAAGGTCATATGAGCGCCAAGGGGTGGGTGTCAACAGAGAAGTCTTTACCTGTACAGGGAATCAGACTTATTCTGCTCACCTCTCTAGCTTCAACAGCACAAGGTCTGCTTCGACTATAAGGCACCCCAGAAATAGCAAGTCACAAGAAAGTGAAAAACATACAAAAGAAGTAGGGGAAAATGACAATAGTACGGATTAAGAAAGAAGTTCCCTGTAGTAGATCAGGCACAGTTATGAGCGTGACATGAATCAGCCCATTTACAATTCTACTGTGCTTTCTTGAACGAGAAATGTCCCCCCTTTGGGAATGGCCTAAAGACACTACAGTCTGTGGCACAGCCCCGGGGGGTTGTCTATCGGTGTGGACGATCAAATTGACAAAAACAAAGATAAAAAATAAAAAAGGATGTTAAAACACAAAAGTAAATTAATTTGATCGTCTACAAAGATGCTACGGCTATTTAACTTTTCAAATCGAGCTGAACTATGGGCACTGCTGTACAATTGCGGTCCCGGTAGATTTAGCACTAAATCACAATGCAAAGACTACTGGATATCCATACTAATTGAAGTGTTCGGTACCGATGTTTTATCAGTAGATCTTGCCTACAAAATGAGCAGTAAAATTTCACTTGTATACAAGGCAAAGGGGGTTTCAGGGGGGCTTGTCCCCCTGACCACACCTAACAGAAACATAGGGGAGTTTCAGGGGGGCATGATTTGACCATAATTTGATCGAAGTGGCTAGCCGTACTAAAGTACGGCTAGACTGAGAGTCTAGCCGTACTTAAGTACGGCTAGACTGCCAGTCTAGCCGTACTTAGATCTAGGTTTGGCCCAATCGACTCAAGCCTGTTAAGTACACAGGTCTCATTAGATCTAGATCTAGTAATTATTCAGGTTCAAATACATGCAAGTCAGTAAGGCACCTTTTGGTTTTGTCTGAAATACAAATACTTTAGGCATTGCAAACTAAAAATTTCATTTACAATTCAGCCATCAATATTAAGTACGGCTAGCCTGACAGTCTAGCCGTCCTTAAGTACGGCTAGCCTGGATGTCTACCCGTACTTAAGTACGGCTAGACTGCCAGTCTAGCCGTATTTATCTTAGGCTCTATTATTAACATTAGAAAACTGGAGGTTTAAAATACATGCACTTGATGCACTGTCATTAAGGCCCCTGGTTTCGTCTCAAATACAAATACTTTAGGTACTGCACACTAAAAAGGTATATTTACAATTCAGTAGGCCTATTTTTTGTAAATAGGTCAGTCTAGCCAGCCATCATATTAAGAATAAGTACGGCTAGACTGCGAGTCTAGCCGTACTTAAGTACGGCTAGACTGCCAGTCTAGCCGTCATTAAGTACGGCTAGCCTCTTCCTAATTTGATGTATGTTTAATGATAATCGGCTATCCCTCCATAGGCCTATCAGCATGCGCATCAAAAAGTAATGGTTTAGAACCAGAAGTAATCGTTGGTAGGGTCAAAACGAGTATCCCTAACCTAAACGGGACCGCAATTGTACATGAGTGCCGAATTATGCGGGTCGCCATCTCACTGCCCACATACAAAATTGCACGCTTTCAACACAAGAGTGCTGGAACGTTTGTTCACGGTTAACACTAGATATCTAGATCTAGTTACATGGTTGGCCTAGGCTATCACGGTGAACGCACACCGGGTGAGAATCGAATCACAGGGGTGAGAATAGTCTAAGTCAGACTAGATCTAGAGCCTATGTACGGCATACCGTCACCTTAGTGTTTTGTGATGACTATTTCCGGAAGTGAACTTTTGTATTACCATAACTTCGGCTCTTTCAAAAACATCGACCCAAAATTTCGTTTTGTTGAGAGGCCAGCCTTTCCTGTAGGTGTGGGGTGAAGATTTTAGTCAGATAGTGTATAAAGAAGACCCCTAACCGAGACTTGACGCATGTCCTGACATGTACCCCATATCGTCACGTGTCGGGTTTTCTGTCATGGTATGTACCCCATACCGTCACCCACTACACCCCATACCATCACACCCAAATTGAAGCACAACTAGGCGTTTGAAAAAAGGAAAGAAGGAAAGACGAACTCCTTTTGTACAGTGGGCCTAAGAGTACTAAGACAGAACTAATTTTATTGACATACTAAAAAGAACAACCACCAAAACAGACACACATACATCTTACTCACACATAGATCTAGGTACATGAATGTTTCATTTTACTCTTCCAGACATATCACAAACTCATATGAACATCTTCCTCACACACAGGTACATGAAGGCTTCATTTTACTCTTCCTCACATATATCACAACAAACTCACTTGAACCAGATTCGTTTAAAATCGCTCTTCTTGTAAAACCTTTGCTAAAGAAGCAAAACTTAGATCAGAATGTCTTTAAGAACTATAGACCTGTTTCAAATCTACCTTTTTTGTCTAAAATCCTTGAAAAGGTTGTCCTCGAGCAGCTTCGTCATCACTTACAAGAAAACAATCTGTTAGAGCCATTCCAGTCTGCCTATCGAGCTAACCACAGCACAGAAACAGCACTTCTTAAAGTCATGAATGACATGCTTACTGATTGTGATTCAGGAAAAGTTGTTTTGCTGAGCCTTTTATATCTATCAGCAGCTTTTGATACATAATACATATTGACCATCACATTTTATTGAAGCGATTAGAAGTGTCTTTTGGAATATCCGGGACTGCCCTTAGCTGGTTTTCTTCTTACCTGTCAAATCGTTACCAATCTGTTTTTATTAAAGGGCTTAAGTCATCAGATCATGCTCTTAAGTATGGGGTCCCCCAGGGCTCAGTCCTCGGTCCAGTTTTGTTCACCATTTATACTCCACCACTTGTCAAGTAAATAGTTAAATATGACTTAAAATACCATTTCTATGCTGATGATACCCAAATTTATGGTTCAACATTGTTTACCAACTTAGATGAACTTATCCATCGTGCTGAAAATTGTATTGCCTTAGTGAAAAACCGGATGAACAAATATAAATTGATGTTAAATGATGATAAAACAGAAGTCATTCTGGCAGGCAATGCAAAGTCTGTTAAAGAGGTTGACCATGATCACATTAAAATTGGTGATGCAAAAATTTTATTTTCAAGAAAAGTTAAGAATCTTGGCATCTATTTTGATTCTTATTTGTCAATGTCGGCTGAGGTAAATCATCTGATCAGCTGCATGTATTTAGAAATAAGAAAAATTAATAAAATACGTCATCTGATCAATACCAAGTATACTGCTTTACTAGTAACTAGCTTAATTTTATCTTAACTCGATTTATTGTAACTCCTTGTTATCAGGAATATCACTGGAGAAAGTTAAAAAACTTCAAACTGTCCAAAACAATGCAGCACGTTTAGTTTTACGGAAAAGAAAGCGAGACTCTGCTAAACCTCTTTTACGAACTTTGCATTGGCTTCCTGTTGAGAAAAGGATTGTGTACAAGTTGGCCACCATATGTCACAAATGTTTGAATGATAATGCACCATCATATTTATCAAATCTGTTAAGACTGTACATTCCAACTCGCAGTTTAAGGTCATCAGCTGACAAAAAGAAATTTATTTTACCATCTATGAAACTTAAAACAATGGGTGAAAGGGCATTTGAATACCAAGGCCCCAAGATCTGGAATGCTTTACCAAGTACGTTGAGAGAAATCAAATCTTTTGATTCATTCAAAGGTCAGCTGAAGTCGTTTCTGTTTTTAAATTAATAAGATGAATATTTGAAATAATTTTCTTTAGTCAGAACACAACGTTTCATGTTACTGTTGTATGTTGTACTGTATTGTAAAGCGCTCAGAGCCTGTGTACTTTATTAGGGGTTGAGCGCTATATAAATGTCATTTATTATTATTATTATTAACATCTTTTACTCACACACAAGTAGGCCTACTTGAATGCTTCATTTTACTCTTCCACATGTATCACCACAAACTCACATGAACATCTTACTCGCACACATACATGAATTTCCCTGTTGTTTCTTCTTCTTCCCTGTTCTCTGCTTCTCCAACTTCGTTGCTTTTTCTCCTCTTTTCTCTTCTTCCTTCTCCACCCTTTTCTCTCCCTTTCTCTCAAGTCCTCTTTTCCACTTCTATCTTTTTCTTTTCTTCTTCCAATTTCTTCGCCTCCTCCCATGCTTTGTACTTTGCCCGTAAGACATGTATGTAGGGGCCTTAGCCCGTTCTCTGTGTTGAAACCTTAGATAGTTCCAGCTTGCTGGTATGGGCAGGTTGACAAACGAGGGGGAAGGAATGAGTTGATTTTACAAATCAAGGTATTTTCTGTATGCCCCCTCATTCTCCTTAGGTTCGATTTTGTGCCAATGGCAACGGCGGACCCAATGCATGTCTAATGCCATCCATCCAGTGGCAATGGTGTGATCAATTAGACTGTCAAGGACAAAGCAAAAGTGTTGTCCTGAGGCAGTTTTTGGGGGGCTTGGGGTGTCACCAGAGTTTCATCTTCCAATGGTCTCAATGCCTGCTCGGGTAGACAATAGACATAGTCCTAGTTATCCACAGGATCCCGAGCTGGGGTCGAAACCAAAGGTAGCTGAAACTCTGCTGCAGGATCCAGGAAGTCCTCGGAGGTACATTCGATCCCCGAGAATTCCAGACCTGTGGTCGAAAAGTCTAGGGCATCAACTGACCACTCACAACTAGAGACAAGGGCAGTTGGGGGAGGGCCAGCAAGTTTTTCTTCTGAAACAGAAGCAGTAGGAGCAGGAACAATATCACAACATGTGGAAACAGTGGCTGGAAGAACATCATCACAACATGTGTATACATTGGACAGAGGAACATCATCATCATCATTACATACAACGGGATAGAGTTTCCTTCATATAAATTTGTTTCAAACATTAAAAAAGAACAATCTAAAGTCGCTCATTTTCTAATGAATCCGTGTCTAAATAGATCTATCTAGATCTAGATCTAGATCTATATCAAATCATAGAAACTAAAAAATCTAAAGTACTAAGATGCCATCCATAGTCCGTCAAGAAATAGGGTGACCTTATTTAGGCCTAACCTTATTTAGGCCTAAATAAGCAAAAAAAAACAACCCCTTGCCTTATTTAGGCCACCTGTGGCCTAAATAAGCTAAACCCCCCTCCCTTACCTTATTTAGGCCATATGTGGCCTAAATAAGCACTCTCCAAGAAATAACTATTTTTCAAGTCACGCACCATGTAAAAAATATGGTGACGGTATGGGGTACATCCATCAAAAAATTGTACCCCATATGGTCACCCCCCCTACGGGCGCCAATTGTTACAACAAAGAGCAGCGAATGGTTTGTGGCGGTAACTAGACACCTTATAAACTGAATAAAAATGCGAAACGAATCCTGCGGGTACGATTGTAGAACCAATAGCTTATTTCCAAAGATGTATTGCGCATCTGCAAGCCGTAATGGCTGAACGCGGTTCTTACATTTGGAGATGAAATGGATCATTTCTGCTCACACAGGTGTCTGATTCTGCTCAAAATTGTTGAACTTGAAAAAAAAACAATGTTGAACGGAATTGTTTAGCAGACAGCATTCCAGATTATCGCATAATTGTCTGGTTGTCCAATTTTAGGCCAAATGCGTGCCAACTGACAGTATGACGTACGTGACGGTATGCCGTACATAGGCTATAGATCTAGACTTAGATCTAGATCTAGATATAGATCTAAGTCTAAGTCTAAGAAGACAGAGGTGGCCTGTACTTTATCATGACGTTCGAAGTTCTTGTCGCACACTGAGCAGCATGGACCATGTGAAATTTCTCTCATACCAACAAATATACTATACCATTTTGCTGCGTGTGTAAGTCTCCTTGCATAGCACTCCCTCTGTGCAACAATCAAATCTGCTTTAACTTTAGGCAGTTCAAGTGAAGCAATTTCAGCATCCGCCATTTTGCATTTAGCGCACACAGAAGGGAGTGATCGTAAAATATTTACTATTTTCTCTTTTAAGACAGAATTTATAATGATGTTTGATAGAATTATAATTAAAACGAAATAATATGTCAAATTATTTCCGGTAAATTACAGATCTAAAAAAACAAATGTTGATACTATTAATTTTTAAAATTACAAGACACTCAAAGGAAGTCATAGTGCGCATGTCTGAAAGTAGCGTTCTCGGCAACAGAAATTACAGAATGATTCCTTCGAGGTGCGGTCCCAGCCGTTAACTCTCAGTGAGATTTGATTCAACGTCAATGTCAATAGACTAAATATCACACATCCTAGTTGTATACCCAAAACAAAATCTATAAACAGGCATAGCCATGTTTCGAAAAGATAAGCCAATTACTTTGAAAGGATCCACTTCTTTTCTTTGCAACAATTTATCCGTGTATGTAATGCCTGAGAAAAAGCAACTGAATTATGCAGTCGTTCATAAGTCTGTTGTCAATATTGCATGTGCTACTACTGATGGAACCTCTGTAACTGGGCGTCAGGTTGCCTGCAAAGAGCCATCTGCAGCCCAAGGACTCCCTTTTGTGATGCAGGTAAAAAGTTGTTTTTGATGTAAATTTACCAATGCAATGCAGCTTTCAATTTCAATATCAAAACTTTTACATTTACTCAGATTACTGTAACTTACCATAGTGGAGCCCAAAACTTGCCAACTTGCTGCAGACAGGATGACCGTTAAGCTCTGACATAGGCCATGTACTTGTGTAGACAGAGAAGACAAGTCAATTTGATGTAAAATGTTTTAATTCATTCAGTGCTGACCTAAAACCTATGCACTTCCCTGCTGCCCTGATCAATTTCTGAGTGAACCGGTCGGGTTAACATTGAGAGTTGAGGGTAACTTGAAAAGAAGATTAATAGTAAATTAAAGACTACTTCATCCATCATCACAATTTTTCTTCTGCTGCCTATACAGAATTGATTGTAGGTGTACGTTTTTATGCCAAATGGGTAGTCCTCTATTAGCCTCTAGCATGGTACCAGTTGCGGAAACACTGAATTGGAGTCAGAAACGAGAATGGAGAACTATTTGTGGAAATGTGTGCAACAAATGGGCTCATGATAGGTGAAGCTGTTTTCCCATATAAACAGATACACAAATCAACATGGGTGTCTCCAGACCAACAAACCGAAAACCAGATTGACCACATAGAATCTATGTATCAACAAGAAATTCAGGAGATCAATAAGGGATGTTAGAGTTTTCAGGGGTGCAGGCGTAGCTTCTGACCTTCATCTGCTCATTGCAACAATCCCACTAAAACTAAAACCAAGACAGGGGATTGTCAATCATAGGTGCCAGTACAACGTGGAATCTCTGAGAGAGCCATCGTCAAGAGAGGAGTTAAATGTTGCAGTTAAGAACAGGTTCCAAGGGATGGAAACACTGGGCGAGGATAGCAGCGTGGAAGAAACATGGGAGCCAATAAAAGAAGGCTGGACCACTGTGTGTCAAGAGGTACTGGGGAAACGGAAACATGAGCACAAGTCGTGGATATCTGCCACCACTCTGAGGAAGATAGAGGACAGGAAAAAGAAAAAGGTTCAGGTAAACAGGAGCAAGACAAGAGCAGCCAAAGCAAAGGCCCAAGAAGAATACACCAAAGCAAGGAAGGATGTAAAAGTCAACCTGTGAAAAGACAAAAGAAACTATGTAGATGACCTGGTGTGCGAGGCAGAGGAAGCAGCAGGGGCAGGAAACATGAAAGGACTGTATGACAAGAAACTTGCAGGCAGTTACAGGAATGTGAATGTGCCAGTTAAGGATAAAGAGGGAAAGCTTCTCACAAATCCAGACGAACAGAAAGAATGCTGGAAAGAGCATTTCAAAGAACTGCTGAACAGACCAAGGCCAGAAAAACAGTTTGACATTCCACCAGCAGAGATTGATCTGGAGATGAGGGAAGAAAAGCCCAATTTAGAGGAGATCAAGGAGGCGATAAGACACCAGAAAGCAGGCAAGTTGGCAGGCCCAGATGGAATTCCCCCAGAAGTTCTCAAGGCGGATATCAACATTGCAGCAGGGATTCTTCATGGAATTATTGGCAAGATATGGGACGGCGAAGAATTTCTTCCACAGGATTGGAGAGAAGGATTGCTTATGAAACTACCCACAAAAGGAGACCTGCATGAGTGTAAAAACTACCTAGGAATCATGCTCCTGTCCATTCGTGGGAAGATTTTAAGTCGTACCTAGATGACAGAAGATGGGAGGACAACATTTCAGAGTCGACAGGAAAGACGATGGGTGACAATCTGAGGAAAGCAGAGGACAAAGATAAATGGCGAGAGCTGGTTTTCAGATGCAGTGGTGCCCCCATGATTGCCCCAACCACGGGATAGAAGAAGAAGAAGAAGACGACTATACATTGTGATGCTTGTTCGTCTATGTGAGTTTTCTTGTCGTTCATCTTATCTGTTTCAGAATTGTGAACATTGCTGATAGATTCAATAAACTCTATCGTTGAAAGCAAATACAGTCGAACCTGCCCTGACGGCCACCTCTATAAGACGGTCACCTGTACAAACGGCCACTTTCCATTTCCCCCCTTGCGTTTTTTCTATATAATTTAACTGTGTAAAACGGGCAACTGTCCAACGCGGCCGCGGCCACCATATTTTAACACATAACCCCTATCACACTAAGCAATAACACCTGTCTTAGATGGCCGCCTTAGTGACTCCATTACATTTTGTCATTAATTGTGCATTGACCCCTGGCGTTGTGGGCGAGCCGTCATAATCTAATCTCCTGTTGTTGTTGTTAGATAGTCCCTCCAACCGATCATGTTGCGTAGGCCCCTCCCAATGTTGACCAATACCTACCAATTTCCAGCTGTTGGTGAGGGAAACGTGTGATCCCTCATGACCAATAAGCCCCGCCCAGAACTCATACACAAATCGTCAGTGAGATGAGTGGTCACTGTTTTACCCAGTCTGTAACAAAGTAACAATGGACGTCAACATGGACTTGTGACAGAAGCGTCGCTCGTTCTTCGAGTGGTGGCGACCCATAATATATTTGTTTTACCATAGCAATCGGTCCTCCTTGTCTGACACATTTCGTTTTATTGTCACCCTTGCACAAAATCAGCAACAGAATAAAAATAACAAACAAAATACAACAAAAACTACAATAATGCAGCTACTTTCGATTGGGAATGGGGTTTGTTTTTTTCATCTTGATCAGTCCTGCCTAAGACGGCCACCTGTCTTATACGGCCACTTTTCTCCTTGATAATGGGTGGCCGTCTTACACAGGTTTGACTGTACCTCAAAGTTATTTATGTTCACGATTCTGAAACAGATAAGATGAACGACATGTAAACTCACATAGACGAACAAGCATCACAATGTATAGTCATCTATGCCCCCCCCCCAAGTCTTTGTGATACAGATGTGATTGCAGGCCACAAGTGTGAGAGGCAAAGACTGAGAAAGAAAGTTAGACGGGACAGTCGTGAACAAAAGAATAATTCTTGGTGTCAGTTATGACAAATGAAGTGGAAGAATTTGAACCAGTAACGTAACTTGTTGACAAGCAAATAAACAAAAGTCAACAAAATGAAACCAACGGTTGTTCTGAGCACAAAAACATACGCTGACAATCGGACATATCAGCGGGGTAGGGTGAACTTACAAGGAGGTGAAACACCAGTCATGGTAAACGTAGTCATGGACTGACAACTGAACATAGAGTCAATTTGTGCTTCATGTCCATGGGCAATGTGCGTGAATCATAATGTCACTTGTATTTATGGGGTTGAGGATGATTCCGTTCCGTCCACATAGGTCAAGCCATTCTGCGGCCTGGAAGAAACATTCTTCGATGGTGTCTGACCACATAATGGTGTCGTCTATGACTTTCTTTTTGTTTTTGAAATCGTTGACTATTTCATCAAATTGCCACGTGTATGCATCTCCTAAGGCAACATACCCCTGAGGGCAGATTCGATATCGGTATCGACCCCATGGTGTGATGAAAGTGGTGAGGTGTTGATCTTTCTCATCCAGGGGAATACATGTACTATGAAAACCATTCCAGGCATCAAAAGGGGTTTTTCGCGTGTAGGGTGGCACAGAACGAGCCTGATGGAACGGCGACTGTGTGTGATGTGATGGGTTTCTCTGGTTGCAGATCGATTGAGTGCCTGGAAGCCAATGGTTCTTCGCGGCTTTCCTGATTTCAAGGCACATACAACCATACGTTGGCACCGGGTAACTGGAGTACCTATGGGGACAGGTTCTATGACTCCCAGGCTAACGTCTTAGTGTAAGCCTATTTTGACTTGTTTCTGCCAGTGCACCGGGACTGGGATGGGAGTATGATGTGCCACTGGCTTTGCATCAGGTGGGATCATGAGACTCATAGGTGGTCCTGACATCATAGGCAGGGGTTGATGAGGACAAACATTAAATGTGCTGGCTTTGTAGTGGTTCAAAAGTCATTTTTCCAGGTGCCCTCTATTCGCCCCAGTGGCGGGAAATGAAAGTAATGTGGGAATCGATGGTGGTGCTTGGCGTGATGGGCAATGGCATTCATTGTCATCATTCCATTCGAGATGAGGTCCATCGTTAAGGGCAAATGTTGAGTCAAATGATGGGAAGCTGGCGGGTAAGAGGCTACACATGCTTCTCTTGACAGAACAGTTTATCGGTGGAGTCAGTGAGGTAAACAATCTGTCGTGTTGTGACTGATCTGCCAGACTGGGAGAGTCCAGTGATGCGGAGTACCAAGGCAACAAGTATTGCAATTGACTTCTGATTTGCTGCTTTCATTTTCATCGTGTTTGGTATAAGATGGTTCTTGGTCATGCCGAGGGGGCCCAGTATGGAGATTCCAGCCAAGCATGATTGACAACTTGTGTCGGCCTCTGTGGCGGACTTGATGGCGTTTGTTGCTTTGCAAAGCATCGGGTGTATGCCCAGAGCTGTGGCATCAGATGGAATAGCCTGAATGGTAACGTTAATTGTAGGCTGAGGCGCGGACGCCTCTTTGTGCCACATGTCAAGCTTGGAGTTGTAGATGTGGTGTTCTAATGTTATGGCATTAATAACTGACTGTGGTGACTCGTCCGGCATGTTCGTCGCTGTCTCTATTGCACACAAACTCTGGAATACGGCTGTGGCGTCTTTGGGTGTGGATTACGGCTGCTGTCCTGACTTGCGACAGATGCTTTCAAAATGATGGGGGGATCCGCATTTAGAGCAAACATGGCTGTAAGCGGGACAATGAGTCATGCGGTCCTGTCGCCTTCGGCCGTGCCCAGCTTTTTTGCAGTGACCACATACCGGGGCATGCTGTTTTCCATCAGGTGTGTGGGTTTGGTTCTGTAGTCGCTTACGTTCTTGGCGTTTGAAGGAGCTTACGGCATCTACCGACAGTTGGGCCGACTGAGGCAAGCAAGGATGGGTCATGCCTGGTCCAATGCTTTCAGAAGAGCGTTTTCCACTTTCCTTCGCCTCTATGAACCATATAGTGTCCTCTAATGACATGTCTTGATTAGCTTGACCAAGGATGTCAAGCTGAATG